GGGAACTGAGCGATTTTCGATCATGCAAAAAGTATCGCTATTAATCTTGCAAGTTGCAAGATGAGAATCTGTCTCGGCTGTCGGTACCGGATGCATTGTTGCGCATTTCAGGGTCAGTTGCACGACCTTAGTTCGAGCGAGCCGATTTCCGTCCATCAATAGCCGTCCTCGAGCACGGCTAAGTCTTACTGTAATCTCTCACAAATATTTGCCACATTGCAGATAGGTCATCGTAGACGGTTTGGTCATCGGTTCAAAGATATGGCGAAAAACACAGGGGTGGAAGAAACTTTCACAGGGCTTATGACCGGTATCCCCTCCTGTGAGCGTGTACCCCCTCCTTTCTCCTGCTCGGCGTTTTTACGGGAAGTCAGGGGATACTTTGAGTATTGGATAGAATGGGTGGCCAGCGACAGTTGTGGAACCCTAGGGTGGGTAGAGGTAGGGGGAGGGTGGATGGTCGGTTAGGCCGAACTTTCTATGACACCTATTTTAAAACACCCACCGAGACGATTTGTCAGATGAAAAGGAAGTGCAAGATGATAGGGCTATGTAAAAAACATAAACAAAACATATTGACGAAAACCCGTGAAAAGGGACCTCATCCAAGCCGGTGATTTTCGGTAATGGACGAGTCCATACATAATACCTAAACATCGCGTCACCATTGTTGGTACATACGACAGCCAAGCGCTCACGCCTCTGCCTCCCTGCCACGCAAAGGCTAGAGCGCAGACAGATAACATTGGCCACTTGACGCGGCCGTTTGAAGGTGGAGCAATAATTCGGAGGCTTAGGCCGATGTCAGACTTTGCGATTCGCTAGCGTCCGCGGTCGCGTTGCGGTACCAGCCAATTGAGTGATTCACTGGCCGCGACGCGACCGCAGACGCTAGCGAATCGCGCGATTCGCAAAGTCTGACATCGGCCTTACAGCGGCTCCGTAGAATTCTACCAAATCGCTGTAAGCACAAGTATGGCTATAAGGCATGTACTGGTTTCTTGAGCACCATAGAACAAATAATACGGGTGTACTTATTCAGTTTATTATAAATTTTTCATAATCTCCATTATGGCAGCTAATATTTAAATACAAATTTAGAAACATATCACATAAAATTAATCACACTACACTTTTGAACACAGATCGAATAACGTGAATGCACCATGTGTGAGGCCGAGATAGAAGTATTACAAATGGTCGACTACTGCTAAATTTGGGCAATTGCAAGAGGAACAAAGACGGCGAATAGAATCGTGAACCCAAGAAGGAGCTAATCACATAGATATCACACAAAAGAAAAGAATAAATACAAATTCAATAGATATAGACATTCTAAACACTCAAGGTTGTCATGAAGGGTGACGTTCAAACGGATAACTGCGACGGTTCTCAAATGCTAACGGACCAAAACTCACTCATTCACCGATTTTGGACTTCCGTGTAACAATTGTCACAGACCCTAACAGGGTTTTTATGACTGGCAATCCTGCAATTGAAGGACAAGTTTATCAGGGAAAAACATCTTTCTCTTTAGTAATAAATAAAGTCTGATCATAATAAAGACTTACTGCGTAGTTTTTGAGCTACAGGGAGCACAGAAAATCAGGCCGCAAACACGACAGTGATGTTTTCGAACTGTCAGGCTGAACACTTTCCCACAGGTTGTGCAGTTAACAGCAGCAGAATCATCAAGCCACGTTCGTGAAGAATGTTTCGAAATATCCATCTAAAATAATAAATTTATATAATAACTGTTCTACTTCTGCTTGGGAGGTTCATGTTGGGCATGAGTATACAGATGTGTTGAAGCAATGTAAATAAAAAATTAATTCAAAGGTTCCATGCAATGGGAGTGAATATATTTCAGCTTCCACCTCGAGACAGAACCTCGGAAGAATTGCTATTTTTGAAGCCTTCCGAAGCTGAGAAAGCGTCCATGTTTCCTCAGTAGCCACCTCCAGTAAGAAAGACTCGTAGCTATGGAAATGGACAAAAATGATGCGCCAGCACCACTTCAATGAACACGCCCCTGCTGACCACTGAATCAGAAAACAGACAAGTAGCACCGATTCCGAGCCTCAGATTCAGATTCAACTAATCAGGAAATGTTGGGAACGCTTCCTCATAGTGGTTCCCTCTTGGAGATGTCATCAGTAGAGATGCGCTGGGAGACGGAAAGGGGGTCTCACAACACTCCCAGTGAGTCAGGTGTGCACCCCAACTTGGCTTATCCTTTCAGCGTTTGCAATCCCTATCCTTGACTCTTAAAGGCAGAAGTGGTGTGGTGGCAAGTGGCACGCTTACCACGCGAGCGGTCCGGGGATCAAATCCTGGGTCGTGAGTCGCCCGGGCCAACCAAGCCTTCCATCCCTCCGGGGTCGGTTAATTGGTACCAGACTTGTCTGGGAGGATAAAAACACTGACTTGTACATCGGCTGGCCCCCGCAAGTCATTGTATAGGCCACATCGCATTCAAACGCCACTACGAATGTACAAATGGAAGTAGAATGCGTGCCGCATCCCAAAAAGGGGATTGATCAACGGCAAATGCTTTATCCTTTTTTATTAATTAGACATCTGACACCCATGGTGTACACTCATGCACCAGACCACAGTAACATCCCGCCAGCTAAGTCTTTGGTACAAGGCAATCACGCAATTACATTTTACCGATCTATCTATTCAATCGATTACCATTTTACGCAATCCTCCTCTGCTATCCTTCATCGCCCGCTGTGCGGGCCGCCTTCTCACAGTGATCGGACGTGTGTCGTACGCCCTTTTACGGGCTGCCGGCTGCACCGACGTCCGCGATCACTCAGCCTACAGGATGAGCAGTCGCAGTGGCACCCCCGCAGGAACGGACACCACCCGCTATTACTTTTAACCCTTGGACGACGTTGTGGCCCGCCGTGGCCACACTTTGCTCGTGGCGCCACGTCTTTAGGGGTATTGGGCATGTTTTCATGTTTCCAACTCCACAAACATACGAATTGCGAATAATGGCGCTATACTAAAGTGACAGTGTTACAAGTTATAATTATTGATGAACAAATTCGTGAACAAAGAAGGAGTGACCGCATGCATAAACTGCAGCGTCAAGGTTAACCTTGACGCTCAAAAGCACACTAGGTGGCTTTCCCTTGTGTTTTATTCCTCCTAGCACTGCATTGAATAACGAAGTAATAACAATAGGATGTGTTTGAATTTACTGTAGGAGAAAGGAAAAGAAGAAAAACAACTCCTGCACAAGAAAAAATGTTAAATTTATAAAAATGGAAGGAAAAAAATTCTAAACTCGTGACGTATGCATACCTGAAGGGACTGATTTGCACGTCCAAGTTCATGCTTGCGAGAGTGCTTCATCGATCGACGCTTACTCCATTGCCCTTTCTCGTTCGAAGTCCAAATCGCTTTCGGTATTCAAACATCTGAACCACAAATCACAAAAAAATGGCAAAATAAAAATAGCCAAAATGCAGCGATAAAGGCGCACCGTTCAATAAGGGCGTTCTTCTCCTCCTCCCATGAAGAAATCTTCTTTGATAGTTCTGTAAAACAAAGATTTTATGAAGTACAGACAAAAATAAATGAAAAAAAGCTCAAAGCTAACCCATATTTGCTGTTGTCATTTCTTCTGCAGTCTTCACGGCATCTGTCGAAATTCTGATTTGCTCGTCTAATTCAGACTGTATCGCTTTGATCGACCGTTTCAGAGATGATATTTCCTCACTCAGCTTGGCCTCCTTTGAAACCGCTATCGACTCTATTTCTGCCACATTTGAGGTCAGACGTTCCTTGAAAAGCAATTACTTGGACCCTGTAAGAAATGCATTGAGAAAACTTCAACGTACGATCTCCGCGTCCTTCATAGACAGTTCGCGATCCTTAGAGAATTGGATATCTTTGGACAACTGCTCAAACTGCGAACATCTTGCTTGTGCCTGTAATTAAAGAACATCTCAACCGTCGACAATTGGCTTTAATCTTTTCAATAAACGAACATTCGCAAGCTGTTCTTCTTTCGCTCTGATAGATCCCCGGAGTTCTTCCGCTTCTTTCTTTAGCTGTTCGATACTTTCCTCCGATAGCTGAAGTAAACGAAATTCCGTCCTACACGGTTCGAAGAAAGAATAAAAAAGGCCTTTCAAGAAAGTGGGACCATAAGTGCGGCTTTATTCTTTAACAATGATTCCTTTACGTTTCCAATAACATGGTGTCCTTTGCCCTCTTACATACGATTTTGGATGGAGGTACAACCCGAATTCCCGAATTACCGCCCCCTTAACAGCCCTTAACGAAGCCAGTTGAATCTGAACAGAGGCCAGCGTAGTAGGTGGCTAGTTACATTTGCACTCGGCAACGTCATGTAAACATATGACGTGGTCAAAATAAGACCCTCAGAAATTAACTACATACTACCATGTGAAGAAAATCCGGCCCCCGCAGAGAAAAAAAAAACTAAGCTTCTTAAAAGACGGATACAAAGCGAGAAGGCTGTGGAACACACATTCGGGGCACAGGTTTCCTGGGATATCCAACAATTAAAACAGGATGTACTTATCTAGGCAAGCAATTTCTAAGCATTGACGATTCCCCCAGTAATTCGACATACCATCTCACGGGAAAAAAAAGAGTGATTCAGAAAAGATAGAAGAAGAATCGTTTACGCTGACAAACCTATCGACTGTGGGATATCGTATTTCACTGTCAGCTGACAAACAACTAACGAGAATGACAGCGAAACGATTTAAGGTAGGAAACAAAAGGTAAGAAAACAAAAAGAATGAAGAAGGAGAATGAATGAAGAAACGCTGCACTAACCTTTGAAGCTTCCACCTGCTGAACCCGTAACAGTGCACATTCTTCAACTGCTCCTTGCGTTCCACTTCCAAAGTTTCGAGTTTGCGGCGTTCGTCAGCTATTTCAGATTCGAACTTCGCCTAACATCGAATGAATGGTTCAGTCTACAAGATTGCATGAAGTTTAAGTTATCAGCGTACAATACACCAGCTCGTGAATTGTTTCAAGCTCCATGACCTTCTGTTAGCTCATTCGGCAGTCGTGTTCACTCGAGCCTTGCCAAATGCGGAACTTCCTGGCAAGACATTAGAAAGTCAGAATTGCCTTCCCAAGAAATGCTAATTCACGGCAAAACTTGCATCGTCTTTAGCGTCACGATCAGATATCAGGTTTGCCTTGTCAGTTTCTAATTGCTGTACTAATGATTCCAACTCAGCCTGTCGAGACTCAAAGTTCTTTTGTGCAGTATCCAGTTCGATTTTGGCATCAGCCAGAGCATTTTCCACAGACTAAACTGTCATTTTCAAATCAAAGTTCAATGAAACCTTCCCAGGTTTTCTGTACCAAAAAAATGTTAGTGAGAACAGAGTATGGGCAGTAAAATTGTTGTCAAGGTTGACACTTCTCAAGCCTGCTATTAACACGTTGGAGACCGCTCGTATTTTGTTTTGTGGCCGCATAAGACTTCAGCAAAATTTTTAGGATCTCATCAGGTAAATTGAAAAGAAAAACGATACTGTACCATGCAGAAGAAACCTTATCGAATGAAACTGGAAAAGAAAATGAAAGAAAAACCTAGCACTTGTTCCGAAATGTGGGCTGAAAGGTCGCGATTGACGGACTGCAGACCACATATGGACTGGGCTCCAAGGTGTTAATAGTTTGGAACCAAAACACATCACTACTGCTCAAACTCTGACAAGTGAAATTGCAGAATTCGATTGAAGTCATGGCCCAACTGGGGAAACCAGGAGGCCGTATGCTGAATGTTGGGTAGGGGACGGGGATGGGTGAAGTTGGGGAGGTTCGTCGCAGGACCCACTGGGCAACGGCCGCACCTTTGATTTTGCAGCTTTGTTTCCATTCTTTCATCGCTGCTTTTGGTATGAAGAAAGGTATTTACGTGCGAATATACAATCAGAAACAGTAAAAGGATGGAAAACAAAGCTGCAAAATCAAAGGTGCGACCTGCGACGAACCTCCCCAACATTTACCCATCCCCGTCCCCTACCCAACATTCAGCATACGGCCCCAGCAAATGACATAGAAACCTAATGCTAATTCTGTTAAAAACATCCTCACCCTCAACAGGATAGTTTCTTCTTCGTACTTTTTCTGCGTTGCTTCATGACGAATTTTCTTCCTCGGCCATTTGCTCCTTCTGCAATATTCCATATATGTAACTAGACCGAAATGGGAGGCAAATCCGATTCAATTTTTAGTTTAGAATATTGTGAGATTAGTCCCGATCCCGTAGCTCAGCTTGCTTGCACCTCACCTGAGTTCCCACAGTTTGTGTTAGGGTCTCTGTTGTTTTACGGAGCTCTTCCAACTCAACATCAAGCTCAGAAACTCGTTTCAATGTTTCGTTGAGTGAAAGATCCAGTTGAGCATTCCTTGTCTGAAAAAATGGAAAACACTAGGCAGTAATCCGGAAAGAAAAAATTACGAAGGATCACCTGTAGAGAAGCATTTTCATTCTTTTCCTTTTCTAAGGAAAGTTGCAATTGTTTGGTGGTGGACAGCAACTCCTCGTTATGTTCATGATTCCTCTCCAACTGCTGCTCGAATTCCTCTCGCTTTCTTTTCCAGTGTTCCTCTTTTTCATTAGCTTCGCTGACAGCATCTCGCAGCGCCTGCTCTTTCGAAGTTAACTCAGCAGTTAGCTGTAAGAAAACCTTCAACATGGTAGCTAATTCCCACGAACCGAGGAATAACAGAAGATGTTAATCAAAGCTTCAGTTAGCCAAATGATACCAAGCAAGTATCTACCTTTAATATACTACTATACGGCACCACTATTCTATCGACCTACGCGCACTAGGGCGTTTTCAATAATTCGGTTGTCCGATCGTGACGATCGTACAGCATTAAAATTCACTAGTCGATCGTCCACCGTTATAACGTCTTGATTGGAGCGGACGACCGACACGTACCTATTGCTGTGCGATAATTACGACCGGCCTACCAAAAATGGAAGCGCCTTCAAGGACCACAAAATAGAAAAAGAACCACCTTTTCCACTTGCTGTTTGAACGAAACAAGAAGGGCTTCGTTATCGCTGAGTTGGGAACGCAAATCGGATTCCGAATCCGTTACAGCCAATCGCTGAGCCTCACTTTGAGAGAGCTCTGACTCCTGTAATAGGCTAAACATCTTGCGTCAATTTTTGACGTTTCTTTGAACATTCACAACAAATGTACGGATTCGGTATTGAAAAATACGAAAGTACGCTACCAATTTTCCTCGCTTTCGCTTCGGCTTCTGCTATATGGTTGACCGACTCCTCTATTTTACGACGGCTCTCTTCTATTTGGTGCTCTTTTTCGCGAAGAAGACGATTTTTATCACTTAGCTGGGTGGACAACTGAATGCCGAGGAAGGAGTAAAGAGAATAAAAACTAAACAACAGAAAACATAACGAAGTAAATAAAATAATTGAACATTATACAGCAGATATGAGAAAATACCTCTTCCAGTTGTTTACGTGCTTCTAACACGCTCGCTTCTTTCAAACGGACAATTTCTTTCAGCTTATTTATCCTCTCATTCGCTGTCCGTCGATCGTCTTCAATTTCCTTCTCCATCTCGACAAATCGTTCCGCCTAAAAAGAAAGTTCTCAGGCAATCAAAGATCAGCACACACTTGAATTGATGTCGCTGAGAATAGCTGTGATGAAATTAGCGGTTAGTAAAATTTTGAAATTAGGGTAAATATCAGGAACACACAAGTTGGAAACTTCCACGCTTCCCCTTGCGCGGAACATCAACCTTTCTTCCTTTAACACATTGACGACCGCGCGCGTTTTGGCTTTTTTGGCCGTGTGGGACCGGGCCGATTTTGCGAGTGCGACCGCCGCACCTCGGATCCGTGAATTTTTATTGATAACTTTTTAAAGCACCAGTGGTACAAAAACATCTCAGTAACAGTCAATGCGTAGAAGGTAATAGAGTATATAGTGACGAAGTTCCGATTAAAGAACATGTAATGGTAATGAAAAAGGAAATTTTAGTCATTTTATCTGTAGTGGATGCCAAAAGCTCTTTTGATGTGGTTATACCAAGTGAAACATGTATTTTTCTGTCTCTTTAGATTTGCATTTACTTTCACTACCCTTTTTTATTGACGTGTTCATGAGAATAGCATGAAAACTATTAATGAACCAAGCCGCCGGTTTCGGTGAGCTTGGAAAACTTCTTCTAAACTGGAGCATATTTGAACAAACAATGACCTATGTCGTTCACAATAATGTTATGTTCTAATCCATAGAAGAGAGACAAACAATTCGGGAAAAAGCTGCGCATGCCCTAGAAAAAGGGATGATAAGGGTGAGACGCGGTAACGCGTCTCAATGTCCAACGAGGTGCGCAAAGTGAGACGCGTTACCGCGTCTCAATGTCGTCAATGTGTTAATATAATACAAACTAAAATTATAAACTATTTTGAGACGCCAACCACAACACTTACATATTTCGCACTACACCCGAGAAAGATCCAGTCATGCGTTGATATTGACTAACTCTAAACAAATTGGGCGTTATCAAAAAATACGAGGGCAAATGCGGTGCAAATGCATATTAACCGCGCGAAAGCATCTGCATTTGCGTTGAACAATCCGGACTAAGCCTTGCGCGGGAGGACTACCAAAACCCGCATATGTAATTTCATTTTCCAAACAAATTCTCTTCCTAAAGAGTTCCGTCAAGGGCACGTGCGGAACGGAAGTCAAACCTTCGATTATTCCTCCTGCCAAATCTCTAGGCTTCGCCACTTGCTTCATGGAATTGGGGCGCGGCCGTGCGATAGACCCGAACTAACCGCGAGTCAATTGCAAACACTCCCCAGCACACAGTTCCTCCGGGCACTGGGACTCTAAACGCGCTCGCCCGCGAGGCCGGCAGTCCCAAATCGTGAAGCTAAGTGGGGGAGCATTTCTCTAGTTCTATATTTTTTACTCAACCCAACTGTTTTTCTTCTACTCTCCTTTGAGCTTAGCGCCTAAGTGATGCCTCGCTGCGATAGCGCCACAAATTGTCAGCCAAAATACGAATTTAGCGTAACCTTAACAGCCACGATTAACAACAACACCATATACAGAAAGGATGTGCATAAACAGACGAAAAGTAAGTGAAAAGAGTAACAAATAGAGCAGGAAACATGACTTCATAAGATTTACTACTCAAAAATACGACCCGCACCTTTCCGATTGACATCGTCCTCAGCTTCCCTTAGACGTCGTTCAAGAGTTTCCTTCTGATGTTCAACCTTCTTCAGCTTATCAGCTGCACTTTTCCTTTCTTCTCGGAACAGCTTCTCCTGCTCATTAGCCTTTGCCAAAAGGCCGTCCTTCTTGAAAAGAACTTGATGTGAGAAAACCCAGAACAAGCATAATACTAGCAAGTTTAATATTGTTATCTTTACGTATGGCAAGCGTTCATTTGAACATAACACGGCTGAGGTAGGTGTCAGACTCAGCGATTAAAGCCGTGTTTAGGTATCGTGCCAGAATCGTGATAAGGCGGCGCACTAAGAAAATCATATGGCTGAGTAAAGAACCGCCTCGCTCGCCATTAGGCCGATGTCATCGTTTGCGAATCGCTCGATCCGCACTATGACATCAACCTTATGCCATCACGTCAGATTCGTCCAAGTCGCGACTGCGATCGCGATTGCAAGTGTCTGACACCTACCAAACGCATCACGACAACTCGGAATTGAATACTGACCTCCTCTCTGAACGATGCCGTAAGTTGGCCAATTTCTTCTTGGAGCTTTTGATTTTCCCCTTTGAGCTGTTCAATTGCTGTTTTCGACCCATCTTCGCCTTGCGAAACCTGAAATTTGGTGATAAAAAGCGTGAGCGACTAACCCTTCCCGATCCCTTATAGAAACAAGTCAAAACTGCTCACCCGATCCATCAATTCCTTCGTATTTTCCTGCAGTGCTAGCAACTGCTTTGCCAACGATTCGGATTCAGCCGCTCTGGATTCGTTTTGATTTTTCAGCTTCTCAGTTTCAATATGTGCTCGTTCCAGTTCTTCACGCAACGAGAACAGTTCTTGATCTTTGGAAGTGATAATCGAGTTCTGCAGAACGAAAACTATCAGAGAACTACCGATACATCCTCTTAATTTCATGACAAATTCCTAAT